AAATACCGTCCAATTCTGCTAAAAAAGATAAAATTAACAATGAGTTTCTGTTTTCTTCTTTTCCTTTTCAAAGCTATGAAGTATGAACAAATACAACTAACTTTAAACTAACAACTATCTTGCCACACTAAAAATACAAAATTATCTTGCCACGGCCAAACAAATGAAAAATCACCAGGCATCCATGATGACCTAACCTTGACAGAGTAAAGAGCAAACCACCAAATACAGTATATATATATATATATATATATATATATAGAGAGAGAGAGAGAGAGAGAGAGAGAGAGAGAGATCAATGAAGCAGGTGGGGTCGAAGTACGCAACACAACAAGCAGAGGCAACCATTACCAACAACTTTTTTTACCAGACAGCCCAGGACCCCACATAAATACTCTCTGCCCTGTCGCCCGAAAGGTCAACTCATTATGCTTTTGATCTGAGGATCCTTAGCTTCCAATGCCTGCATGCAACCCTAACAGTTTAGTCGTTACTTTTTAAGATCCAATCTTATGTTTCAGTAAAGTGAAAGGAGTCAGCAACGTCAAAGTGCACGGCAAGTTGCACGACAGCTGAACGCACGGCTTCAGACGATGGTGCAACAGAAGTGGGTAGATGGGGTAAACAAATTGGCAGATACTGTTCACTTTCCTCAGGCGGGCAGAAAAAAGAGATCACGGATCGGCAGAATATGAATCTGTGTACATAAATGATACCAAGATGTCACACAGTATGTCCATTCAATAATTTTAATAGCGCTTAAAGTCCAAATAGCAGTTGACATCCCCCGAGACCAATCAATCACCGATTATAAATTAAAAGAAAAAAGAAAAAACTACATAGGCTAAAAAGTAAAGAATAAGCACCTTAGAATAAGTCGCCTCAAAAATGGATCACTTATAACCTGCGCCCATACTAAATTCATGGTAGTTGATGAGCAAAGACTTATTTCCCACTCAGTGAAAGCATTATCTATTATGTTCTCTGCTTCATTGTACACATCCTACAGGTTAACAAAACACAATTAGACCAACGATAATTGAAGTTAACTACAGATATGTTAAAGATTACTCGTGTTGCTTACTGTATCAGCCTCATTAGGGAAGACACCAATCATTTGGCAGAATGCTGACAAAGGACAAGTCAAAAAAAAGGTAAATTGGCTTCCATTATTGGAATTTACATCAGATGGATTCTTGAAAATTGGTCTTAAGGGTGAAAGGAATAAAGCAGCCGTTTCACCCCTTTCAGCGCCATGTAAAACCTGCAAAAATTTGTGATGTACACAATCAATCAAGGCTTGTCAAAGAAAATACCATGGGTCAATCAATTCTCAAGCCTAAGATTAACCGCATCCAATTTCCTACCAATTCCAACTTCCAACACATTTGCTATGGAAGAAGCCAACAAGCAAATATCCTACGCCTAAAACGAACTATAAAATCATTATATAACCCAGAAAGATGCTGTATTTGTCAGTTTTTTTGGTAAGCACACACGAATCATTGATAGTGGTCCTTTCTTTCCATCCATTTAACTCTGTCCTTGAAGAAAGTTAAACATTCATATTCAAATTGTAGAAGTTCAACAAGGCAGGGTTTCTGTGGTTGGTTAGTTAAAATTCAATTTCAAGGATTTTGACAAACCCTTGGACTACACAGTAATAAACTAATTACAAGTTTTATTAAGCCATTAAAAAGTACAATTAGATTCTGGGAATATCCTGAACAGCTCAACCTAACAAAGTTCTCACGCAACTCATACACAAGTTCTGAGTTATGACAAACCTGCCTTGAATGCATGGCTGTTATCACTGTCAATAATCAAAAAAAGAGGTTTCCGAGTGAAGGGGATAAGATCGCCAGGGTAGAGATTATTTGTACCTGATAATTTGAATAAAGCACATGTAAATGCAGCATCATCAGATATACCTTATTCTATATATCATTTCATTTAAACTAACCCAAAAATTGAGAAAATATAAAATTCTTTTAACGTTTCCTTGAACAATCTGAACAGAAATTTTATAGAGAATAGAATCAGAGCATCTACTTACCACTATTTCCCTTGGGACCAAACCACAGATAATTGTCATAATAGCCACTTTCTCTCTTGCCATTATTTTGAGTTTCAGAAAGTCCAGAATTCTGTCCATGGGAAGTCTGAGAAGAGACTCTGTGTCTTGAAGATTTGGATGAACCTCCAGAATTTTCTACCTGAGAGACATTATTAAGACCAGCGTTCCCTGCATGAATGATCATTAAGATAACTTACCTATTATAACAGGCATGAGAGGAAGACTATTTATACTTGAAAAAGAAAGAGAAAATGTAAACCTGAGGCTGAAAGGTATACTAGCACGACACTGTCTGGTGGCAGTTCCTCACAAATTGTAGCCATTACCTGCATAACATCATGAAGCTTATATAAGAAACAACAAATTGTGTTCAACGGCCAGTGAAAGATTGCGTATAAATAGGATGTAAAAAGCCATTTGTTTTCAACAAGTCAAATTTTTGGCATTGGTTCATAAATCAGATCATACAACACAAAAGAAATTCCGAATGTATGTGTGCACAAATAGATAAGAGAGTGTATTATAAAAATCACTAAACTAACGAAGCAGACCAAAGGCAAACCAAAATATCCAAGTGATGATAGGAGAAGCCATAAAATTGTCATGCAATATCATCTGATATTGACAAGGTCTAGTTATCATGACAGTTTACTAATTTTAGTAAGCAGACAAGCAAGTATGTAATATAATCTTTCCAGTACACTTGAAAACTCACTGCTATCATATGTGTCACAGATGGACGGTACAGGGTAGCTTTTCTAGGATTAGGAGGTATATTTGGATCCGTCATATCTGCAGTGAGATTCATGTCTATTATCCCAGAAGCTCCTGAGTGATCAATTGTGTCACCGTTCTCCTTAGGTTTAAATGTATGCTTTTGGTAGAATGTTCCTCTAGGCTCCCATTCTAAACACTGTATCATTCTATACATGTCCAATGTAAGCTCAGCAAACTTGACCTGAAAGAGAGAATATACAAAGATTCATAAGCTCCAGTTCCTTTTTAGCCACTAAAGTAAATCAACAATCCAAATTTAAGAATCATCACAGTAATGTGAACCAGTATTAACCTCATTTCGATGATAACTTGTCAACAGGGCATCTTGAAATTTTAAAACTCTCTTAGCATGAAAACGAGCTACATAAGGAAGAGATGCTCGATGAGTATCAAATGTGGCACAATATCGCATGGGTCTGAAATTAAAGCCCTTATCAACTTTTGTGAAACGGTTAATTTCTTGCACCACTTGCTTCCATTCCTTAAAGTTAGTTTCCTGAAAAGAAATTATTCACATTCATAAGTCAAGCATGCAATATAGTACATATAATTTTTTCTCGAGGTTGAATAAAGGAATACAAAGCATCAACAAGTTCTGTTATAACAAAATTAATGAGATCTATTTTTAAAGAAAAAACAGAAGTTAAATATTAATATTGAACAATATGAATTAAAAAGTATAAAACAATCAGATTGAGAAGTGGAGGCTTGATTTCCAATCCTAAAGAACAACAACCAAAGATGTAAAGTTATAGGTAATTGATAACACCTGAAGCAGAACAATGCAGTGATGATCATGATATCGGGCCAGAGATAAAAAAGATAGAGTAATTTTACAAAGAAATACCAATCATAGTCTATAGGGCTGTTGTCATCATGCGAATAATAAAGTATCATTATTTTCTGCATAAACACTTTTGTTATCCTGATCATTTGATAAACTTATCAAATCAACACATGAAATGCATTTAGGAAATTCGGAACCTCGTGTTTTGTTTTGTAAAACTGACAGAAATTTTATTAGTATGCTCTTGTTTGACAAACTGATTTTGACCATAAAATCATAAATAAAAATCAATATTCGATTTAAGTAAAACAATTTTGACTGTCCATGTTTAGTGGTATGGTCCAGATTAACTCCAACATCTCACGCTCTCATTAAATAACTCTATAAATATGGTTTCAGAAGAAAATCACAACTGTACCAACAATGTTATTCTACAAAAAATTTCCCCTGCAATCAGTATAATTAATTGATCAACATATGTATATTAAGGATCTTCAGAATCGTTATTTTTGTTTTGCCATCTGAGAGTAATTTCATCAATGCACCAACAATTTATTCTAAAAAAAACTGGCCCCCACATGTACAACTTGAAATCCAGTTGATCCAGAGCATTACTATGGTTCTATAATGGGAGGCCATTTCTTTAGAAAAACTACAACTTGCTTTTCTTCAGTACTGTAAAACTGAGAACCTTCAATAACCTTGATATTTATCCTACTCCGGAACACCATAGTGATCACTTCCACAGTTCATACAATAGTCAGGTCAGCTATAACAGAAAAAAAAAAAAAAACCTGAATCTTGCGGCTAAGCTATGAAAATAACCTATCGTAAAACAAAGGGAGCAAAATTTTGCTTAAATTAATATCCATTAGATAACCCATCGATTTTATCCTATGGAATCAGATGTCAATGAAACAAAGATTGAATTACTTATTTCAAAAATCTCCTACAGTGGGATTGCCATCAAACGATGAAACTAACGTAATTTAGTGACACGGATTCATTTTCCAATCTGGGCACGTTGAACCAATCAAAACAAAACCAAACAACAACTGTGAATGGTGACATCATTCACCAACTGCTAGGGGTATTCTACTTCATAACCAATTATTAAACTCATATATATGCCTTTGCGAGCAATTAGAGAATGATTAACATTTTGTTTCATATCATTGGCCACATTATGCACAAATCTTTACGCACCACCACACTTAACAACACAAGTTTAAAATTTTACACTAAAAAACACAACCTTTCAAATGCGTGCCAGTTAAAAACCTCAACTTTCTTTTCAATTTAAAGGTTTTGTTCATATTTTTCATAATTTTTTTTCAATTTCTCTTACATCAACTATTAATAAAGTCAATTTATAACATATAAATAATTACAAATATTATCTTATAAACATGATGATGTAAAATTAAATTAGATTTTAAATTCAGTATCATATTAAAAGTGTTATAATATTAACATCAATTATTAATTTTTTATATTCGATGTATTGTCGTTTTAACTTTAAAAAGTATCTCAAATAAAAAAAATATTTAAAAACTATTTTAATCTCAACTCATAAACACTATAAAAATTGTTGTGTACAGTAAGAAGAAGAACTATAAATATATATACTCTAATGTGAGGTTTCTATCAATTGTAATTGCTACATACTGAAAATGACATATAACTAAATTCCAAATTAATGGATATCATGATGAATGAATCAGGTCCACCACTCAAAAACTGCATTTATGGTGCAACGAATGGACGATGCATCAATTTAATACGAGCCAACGCAGCCTGAACAGATATTATATAGAGAGAAGAAGGTTCGCCATTAGTTTGACACAGCGAAAATAAATAAATTAGTTTCATTTGGTGCCAGCAAATAACTTCAAACAAACAGTCTCTGTCTTTGGTTTACCAAAGCAGTTTTTCTTTATTCAAAAGCATACCTTATTCCAAACTTTGACTATATTTTTTTTCGTAAAAAAGAAAAAAAGACAGTACCATACCTACGAGTAAAATAAGGGTAATAATTAAGTTTAATGTTTTAAAAATTCTGAAAAAGACACCAGACACAAATGTTTTTCTGAGCATATTATTCCTTCTCTTACTTAATCTGCTACAAGTAATTAATTAACTGGTTATAATAAAATAATTTCTGTCCCCAAACACGAAAGAGCCAACCCTATAGCAAAGTTTGTTTTGGCTGATGTTGTTGGGATTTCATTTGTAAGGTCGTGATTTTTCCAGTTTTGGTCCTGGTTTTGCCATTGCTTTCACCTCTCACGTAAAAAAAGAACAAAAATGAAAATGAATAAATCGGTCGCTCCTCAGTACAAAAGCCAAAATAAATTGGCTGGAAAGAAAGTCCCTTCAGCAAATAATCCAAAATCCAAACACTATCATTCGATTATCTCTCAAACAGCGAAAAAGCAAAGCGAAATAAACAGTAAATTCCATTTTTTTCTCTCTCGGAATATTCTAACATCTAAGATATTATAAATATATGTTAGAGGCATACACTTTCTATTTATAAAATTACACGTATCTCTCGTTAATCATATTATTTTTCAAATTAGATATGATTAGATACAACTGCCACCAGTAATAATACACTTCTCATTTCAAATATTTAATACAATCACAAGTTTAGAATTCATTAATTAACGAAAACCAATTTTATGTTATTGTTTATAGACAGGTTTCTATTATTGTTATAATTTTTAATTTTTTTCAAAAGAATAAGTCAAGCAAAATGCTGTTTTTTTAATTATGAAATATTCATTAACTTTGTGGATAATTGATATCTATGAATAATCTGAGTGATAGAATTTCTTCCTCAGACCCATTAAACATGAATGAGTTATATATTGCTAATTTGAGGAACATTAAATTATAATGTGATTAGAATATACATTAAGACGATAAAAGAAATATATAAAAAAAGTTATTAAAAATGGTTAATTAATGTGGTTGTAAAATTTAACCATTTGTAAAACTAATAGATGTATTTTGTAATGAAAAAATGAACTTACAAATAGTCATTAACATGAAATTTAATAAAATGTTAATGTTTATAATTAATGCAGTGTAATAATAATAAATAAAAAAACACATGCACATAGCGTTATTTATAACATTAAATATTAAAAATTATATTATATACTTTTCTTACACAGTCTTTGGCAAACGAAAAGCGTAACCGCCCTCTTGAGTGTTCACCGTTTCTCTCTTTTTCCGACGCCCACACACACAAACGCGCATTTCGTTTCTATTTTCCGGTTAGCACTACTTTCTCGAATTCTCCGATGACCGGCGGCGAGGAGAGTCACCGGACGGGGACCTAAGAAGGCTCTCTCTGTCTGATTCTCTGGAAGGCATGTCCGAGGACAAGGAGCGGGCGCTGCAGACGTTCCGCGCGCTGGTGGAGAGCGCGGACAGGAAGTTCGGGCGCGTTCGAGACGTGGCGGCGTACGGAGGCGGCACGAGCCGACAGCAACAAACAGCAGCACGCGTTCCAGAAGGTGTTCAAGGCGTACACAAGGTTGTGGAAGTACCAGCAGGAGAACCGCTCGAAGCTGGTGGAGTGCGGGCTGAAGCGGTGGGAAATCGGCGAGATCGCGAGCCGAATCGGACAGCTGTACTTCGGGCAGTACACTAGGACGAGTGAGTGCAGGTTCCTCGTCGAGGCCTACGTCTTCTACGAGGCCATACTCAGCAGAAGGTACTTCCAAGGATCCGAACCCAACGCCAAAGATCTCGGTGTTCGCTCCAAGGAGTTGCGCTTCTACGCGCGCTTTTTGCTTGTTTCGGTCATTCTTAACCGGACCGAGATGGTTAACCACCTCGTCGAACGCTTTGGGGCTTTGGTTGAGGATTGCAAGAGCACCTTTCGGGTAATCTATGCATTTTCTCGTTCGCTTCTCAATTTGCTTTAATTTCTTGTTTCAGCTTTTGGAGAGGAAAGTGAGCTGATAATATTCATCTTCTTTTTTTGTGCGTGTAGTTATTTTATTTTATTTTGTTTCTGCCAATGAAGTAGTTAGGAGTGAAGCGATGTGGGTTGGTGTTTCCTTTCTTCTGAAAAATGAAAATGCTTTTATCTTAGGGATTAAGTTAGAAGCTGCTCCGTGCAGATCAATGTTACTGGTCATGTGTGATACTGATTTAGATCCGTAGGTGAAAACCTGAGGATGATTAGATTAGCTTCTTGTGTTTTGGGCTATGTGATAGAACAGAACAGCGATCATATGCTGGCTTGATCTGTGTAGTGTACCGGCCCCACCTAACCTTGTGTGTTTTTTGCATGTAATATGGTAGAATTCACGGTTTTTGGGATA